CTCTGTGGTGGAATAGGTGATTGAGAGTACACGTTTGTGTTTTTGACCCTTTGGTGGAATTAGACATTGAGAGTACACGTTTGTGTTTTTGACTCTGTGGTGAAGTGGGAGATTTAGAGTACACGTTTGTATTGTTTTCTCAGAAATAAAGACTGAGATTGAGAGTTCACGTTTGTGTTGTTGACATTGTGGCTTACTTGGAGATTGAGAGTACACGTTTGTGTTGTTGACTCTGTGGCGGAGTGGGAGATTGAGAGTACACGTTTGTGTTGTTGACTCTGTGTTTGACTGGGAGATTGAGAGTACATGTTTGTGTGGTTGACTCTTTGGCGAAGTGGAAGATTGAGAGTACACGGTTGTGTTGTTGACATTGTGGTTTACTTGGAGATTGAGAGTACACGTTTGTGTTGTTGACTCTGTGGTTGACTGGGAGATTGAGAGTACACGTTTGTGTTGTTGACTCTGTGGTGGAGTGGGAGATTGTGACTACACGTTTGTGTTGTTGACTCTGTGGTGCAGTGGGAAATTGAGACTACACGTTTGTGTTGTTGAATCTGCGGTGGAGCGGAAGGTTGAGACTACACGTTTCTGTTGTTGACTTTGGGTGGAGTGGGAGATTGAGACTACACGTTTGTGTTGTTGACTCTGTGGTGCAGTGGGAAATTGAGACTACACGTCTGTGTTGTTGAATCTGCGGTGGAGCGGAAGGTTGAGACTACACGTTTGTGTTGTTGAATCTGTGGTGGAGCGGAAGGTTGAGACTACACGTTTGTGTTGTTGAATCTGCGGTGGAGCGGAAGGTTGAGACTACACGTTTGTGTTGTTGAATCTGCGGTGGAGCGGAAGGTTGAGACTACACGTTTGTGTTGTTGAATCTGCGGTGGAGCGGAAGGTTGAGACTACACGTTTGTGTTGTTGAATCTGCGGTGGAGCGGAAGGTTGAGACTACACGTTTGTGTTGTTGAATCTGCGGTGGAGCGGAAGGTTGAGACTACACGTTTGTGTTGTTGAATCTGCGGTTGACTGGGAGATTGTGACTACACGTTTGTGTTGTTGAATCTGTGGTGGAGTGGAAGGCTGAGAGTACGCGTTTGTGTTGTTGACATTGTGGTTTACTTGGAGATTGAGAGTAAATGTTTGTGTTTTTGACATTTTTTTTTTTTTCTCAGTGATGAAGTGGGAGATTGAGAATACACGTTTGTGTGATTGACCCTGTGGTTGACTGGGAGATTTAGATGGTGTTGTTGTCTCCCTGATGAAGTGGGGGATTGAGAATACACATTTGTGTTGTTGACCCTGTGGTTGACTGGGAGATTGAGATTGTGTTGTTGTCTCCCTGATGAAGTGGGGGATTGAGAGTACACATTTGTCTTGTTGACTCTGTAGTGGAATGGAAGGTTGAGAGTACACATTTGTGTTGTTGACTCTGTGGTTGAGTGGAAGATTGAGACTAAACGTTTGTGTTTTTGACATTGTTTTTTTTCTCAGTGATGAAGCGGGAGATTGAGAATACACGTTTGTGTTGTTGACTCTGTGGTGGAGTGGAAGGTTGAGAGTACACGTTTGTGTTGTTGGCTCTGTAGTGGAGTGGAAGATTGGGAGTACACGTTTGTGTTGTTGACTCTGTGGTGGAGCGGGAGATTGAGAGTACATGTTTGTGTTGTTGACTCTGTAGTGGAGTGGAAGATTGAGAGTACACGTTTGTGTTGTTGACTCTGTGGTGGAGCGGGAGATTGAGAGTACACGTTTGTGTTGTTGACTCTATGGCGGAGTGGGAGATTGAGAGTAGACGTTTGTGTTGTTGACTCTGTGGTGGAGCGGGAGATTGAGAGTACACGGTGGTGTTGTTGACTCTATGGCGGAGTGGGAGATTGAGAGTACACGTTTGTGTTGTTGACTCTGTGGTGGAGCGGGAGATTGAGAGTACACGTTTGTGTTGTTGAGTCTATGGCGGAGTGGGAGATTGAGAGTAGACGTTTGTGTTGTTGACTCTGTGGTGGAGCGGGAGATTGAGAGTACACGGTGGTGTTGTTGACTCTTTGGCGGAGTGGGAGATTGAGAGTACACGTTTGTGTTGTTGACTCTGTGATGGAGTGGAAGATTGAGAGTACACGTTTGTGTTGTTGACTCTGTGATGGAGTGGAAGATTGAGAGTACACGTTTGTGTTGTTGACTCTGTGGTCGAGCGGGAGATTGAGAGTACACGTTTGTGTTGTTGACTCTGTGGTCGAGCGGGAGATTGAGAGTACACGTTTGTGTTGTTGACTCTGTGGTGGAGCGGGAGATTGAGAGTACACGTTTGTGTTGTTGACTCTATGGCGGAGCGGGAGATTGAGAGTACACGTTTGTGTTGTTGACTCTATGGCGGAGTGGAAGATTGAGAGTACACGTTTGTGTTGTTGACTCTGTGGCGGAGAGGGAGATTGAGAGTACACGTTTGTGTTGTTGACTCTGTGGTTGACTGTGAGATTGAGAGTACATGTTTGTGTTGTTGACTCTGTGGTTGAGTGGTAGATTGAGACTAAACGTTTGTGTTTTTGACATTGTTTTTTTTCTCAGTGATGAAGCTGGAGATTGAGAATACACGTTTTTGTTTTTGACATTGTGGTTGACTGGGAGATTCAGAGTACACGTTTGTGTGGTTGATTCTGTGGTGGAGTGGAAGATTGTGAGTACACGTTTGTGATGTTGACCCTGTGGTTGACTTTGAGATTGAGATTGTGCTGTTGTCTCCCTGATGAAGTGGGGGATATAGAATACACGTTTGTGTGATTGACCCTGTGGTTGATTGTGAGATTGAGAGTACACGTTTGTGTTGTTGACTCTGTGGTGGAATGGGAGATTGAGAGTAAACGTGTGTGTTGTTGTTGTCTCAGTGATAAAGACTGAGATTGAGAGTATACGTTTGTGTTGTTGACTCTGTTGTACACGTTTGTGTTGTTGATTCTGTTGTGGAGTGGGAAATTGAGAGTACACGTTTGTGTTGTTGACTCTGTAGTGGAGTGGGAGATTGTGAGTACACGTTTGTGTGGTTGACTCTGTGGTGGAGTGGGAGATTGAGAGTACACGTTTGTGTTGTTGACTCTGTAGCGGAGTGGGAGATTGAGAGTACATGTTTGTGTTGTTGACGCTGTGGCGGAGTGGGAGATTGAGAGTACACGTTTGTGTTGTTGACTCTGTAGTGGAGTGGGAGATTGAGAGTACATGTTTGTTTTGTTGACGCTGTGGCGGAGTGAGAGATTGAGAGTACACGTTTGTGTTGTTGACTCTGTAGCGGAGTGGGAGATTGAGAGTACATGTTTGTGTTATTGTTTTCTGTGGTTGAGTGGGGGATTGAGAGTACACGTTTGTGTTGTTTTCTGTTGTGGAGTGGGAGATTGAGAGTACACGTTTGTGTTTTTGACCCTGTGGTGGAGAGGGATATTGAGAGTACACGTTTGTGTTGTTGACTCTGTGGTTGACTGGGAGATTGAGAGTACACGTTTGTGTTGTTGATTCTGTGGTGGAGTGGAACGTTGAGAGTACACGTTTGTTTTGTTGACTCTGTGGTTGACTGGGAGATTGAGAGTAGACGTTTATGTTGTTGACTCTGTGGTGGAGTGGAAGGTTGAGAGTACACGTTTGTGTTTTTGACTTTGTGGCGGATTTGGAGATTGAGAGTACATGTTTGTGTTGTTGACTCTGTGGCGGAGTGGGAGATTGAGAGTACGTGTTTGTGTTATTGTTTTCTGTAGTGGAGTGGGAGACTGAGAGTACACGTTTGTGTTGTTGACTCTGTAGTCGAGTGGGAGATTGAGAGTACACGTTTGTGTGGTTGACTCTGTGGTGGAGTGGGAGATTGAGAGTACACGTTTGTGTTGTTGACTCTGTAGCGGAGTGGGAGATTGAGAGTACATGTTTGTGTTGTTGACGCTGTGGCGGAGTGGGAGATTGAGAGTACACGTTTGTGTTGTTGACTCTGTAGTGGAGTGGGAGATTGAGAGTACATGTTTGTTTTGTTGACGCTGTGGCGGAGTGAGAGATTGAGAGTACACGTTTGTGTTGTTGACTCTGTAGCGGAGTGGGAGATTGAGAGTACATGTTTGTGTTATTGTTTTCTGTGGTTGAGTGGGGGATTGAGAGTACACGTTTGTGTTGTTTTCTGTTGTGGAGTGGGAGATTGAGAGTACACGTTTGTGTTTTTGACCCTGTGGTGGAGAGGGATATTGAGAGTACACGTTTGTGTTGTTGACTCTGTGGTTGACTGGGAGATTGAGAGTACACGTTTGTGTTGTTGATTCTGTGGTGGAGTGGAACGTTGAGAGTACACGTTTGTTTTGTTGACTCTGTGGTTGACTGGGAGATTGAGAGTAGACGTTTATGTTGTTGACTCTGTGGTGGAGTGGAAGGTTGAGAGTACACGTTTGTGTTTTTGACTTTGTGGCGGATTTGGAGATTGAGAGTACATGTTTGTGTTGTTGACTCTGTGGCGGAGTGGGAGATTGAGAGTACGTGTTTGTGTTATTGTTTTCTGTAGTGGAGTGGGAGACTGAGAGTACACGTTTGTGTTGTTGACTCTGTAGTCGAGTGGGAGATTGAGAGTACACGTTTGTGTTGTTGACTCTGTAGTGGGGTTGGAGATTGAGAGTACATGTTTGTGTTGTTGACTCTGTAGTGGGGTTGGAGATTGAGAGTACATGTTTGTGTTGTTGACTCTGTGGCGGAGTGGGAGATTGAGAGTACATGTTTGTGTTATTGTTTTCTGTAGTGGAGTGGGAGATTGAGAGTACATGTTTGTGTGGTTGACTCTGTAGTGGGGTTGGAGATTGAGTGTACATGTTTGTGTTGTTGACTCTGTGGCGGAGTAGGAGATTGAGAGTACATGTTTGTGTTGTTGACTCTGTGACAGTGTTTTCTATCTGGTGACTTCAGTCAAGATAGACAGTATACATTAGATGAGAAAAAATCTTTTATTCTCAATACTGAAGATCAGAAATATCAAGAAACATATCACTTCCCGACAGTCTTTTGTGAGAAAAAATGAAGTGGAGAAATCGGACTTTCGTATCACAGTGTGACTCTATCTCTGACATTGCCGTGGGCGGCTACTGGCTACAAGTGGACTAGAGTCGGACGTTATGACTTAACCTCTTCAGCAGCCGTTCATCAATTATGTATCGGTCTTCTTTTCATGTGACTACAATCTCTCTGTCCATGACGTCGCAGGTATCGGCAGTGTCCACGGTCGTGGTGTCGGCGTGTTCCCCGTCACTAAGCACCTTATCCTCTAGTTGTTTCTCCGCCTTGTCTGGGTGGCGAGACCTTATGTGTCGTTCTAGATCCCGCCGTCTCACCAGTACCTTGCCGCAGAACTCGCATCGGTATGGTGTCTCTCCCTCTGCGTGAAGTCGAACGTGTTTATTGAGATTGCTTGGATCCCCAAACGGTCTTAGACACACCTTACACTTCAATGGCTTGTAACCAGTGTGTGTGCGCAGATGAATTTTAAGTCCGTATTTCCTGGAGTAGAGCTTCCCACAGTAAATACACAAGTGTCCTTTTCTTGATTTGCTTGTGAACAGAGATCTCGGGATCAGGTCTAGAGGTTCTCCTTCTGTATCTGACGGCATTGGGAAAGGGAATGGCATGGAAGAGACACTGCCTTTCCCTGTCAGAGGTTCTGCTATGTTGCCTTGGTAACACTGTGAGCTTATAGCCTGCCCCGCGTGCTTGGCATTAGACGTGGCCCTGAGAAGATGGCGACCATACTGAGACATGCACGCCCCCCTTTGCTCTGTTAGGGATGTGTGAGTTGGTAGAGAGCCACAGCATAGTCTAGTCTGTTCGTGCATGGGGTCCAGATAGGGGTAGTAGAGCCGAAGGGCACTGTGGTCAATAGCAATCGGGAAAGCTGGCGGGTGGATGTGGTTGAATATCTGTATTGGCTGAGACACGCCAGACATTGAAGTCTGGGTTTGCTGTGGTGGTGGGTGCTTTGGCGCCTCCCTCACAGACAGATTGAGGACACCCTGGTCAGTGTGTGAGGCCTCGCCTCTGTCTGGGTCAGCCTTGACGTCCCCTGCCTTATAATGAGGCCTAAAGGCAGACAGCTCAGCCGTCGGCAACTGTAGCTGTGCAGTCGCCCTTGTCAATAACCAGTTTTCTAGGGAATCTTTGGAAGCACCAGATTTACTGCTGCTTGTAAGGAAAGCTCCCATTGAAGGGAGTGAGGCACATTGTGGTGCATCTCCAGTCAGGGGCAGGTTAAGGATGGACCTGACAGTGAACATGGGGGTTGGATGTATTCTGTCTGTAACATCGGGCTTCTTTTCACTGCACCGGAAGCGGATGTGAGCTTTAAGACTGTTGGGATACTTGAATATCTTCTGGCATTCAGTGCACATGTATTGTTGGTTACCTGGCAACAGATACTTATAGAGATGAAGCTGAAATAATGGAAAAGAGATAATTGATTATTAATCGGATACACGTGAAAGATCTAATAGAGCGGAGATGAGCCTCATCCGAAACTCACCTCTGATATTGTCTGGTGATAGGATTGGGATGCCGCTCTGCCGAGCCAAATCATCGCTGTACCAAACCAAGAGTTGCTCCCCTTTATTGACATGTCGAAGAAAGCGCAAGAATAGACGACCCTTAACGTCTCGGTACGTTTCAACGTTCTGCTCGTGTCGGTCACGTGCTGGTTGTACGTGTAGCAACCACGTGTCGGTGACATTGTCGGGCAACATCACTCGGCCACCTTTATATACAACCTGAAACATTAGAAAACATTAACTTACTTATTTCTTTCGGAATTTGTTGTCAGTACAGTAATATCTTATTTCTTTATGTCAACCTATATATTTGAAGCTGTCCCAGCTGGATACAGGAACTCCTTGTGGTGGCTCTGTAAACTCAAACAGTTAATTACTGGACACAACCTGCCTATCTGAAGAGTAAATACTCCAAATTATAAATATGTTGATGGACAAGTGAGCATTACAAGGCACTTCTATAGCAGTGTCACCACATGACAGGTCTCTCCACGATTGAGCTCAACACCAAACACTGCAAGTAGTTTTCATTTAGACCTGTGGTCTACTGAAGCTTGTCTATGTCTGCGTTAATGGGACCGGTGCCACGTAAGTGTACCCACACAAGTTTACTGGGTGTTACCCCTTACATCAGCTGTTCCCTGGCAGAGACAGGCATTTCGTACAGCAATTGTAAAAATGAATGTTTTTACTCTTACTTCGAGATACCTTATGTTATGTCGGCTGCCCGAGATATAGACTGAGCCTTGTTGAAGTCTTTCAATATCGAACGAGAAACAAAACCCTAAACAGCCCATTCATTAAACTAGCGCACCTAGCGCCATTGTAAGTTTGGGAGGTTATTATGAATGATTTATCCAAACTCATTTTGCGAAGTTAAATCTAAGCTGACTATTATTTGTCACCTTTGTACTTAGCGAGCGTGATCGGTATCACAAATACTATGCGCCTGTTGAAAACATCAAACAACGTGAGATGTTGTATAACTTGAGAAGACAATAGCCAGTATGTGACGATGGTATACTCTGGAGTTGAATCCGAGTCCCTGGACAGCCGCTGTCAGCTAGGACATTAACAACACTGCCATTGTAACAGTGTGTTTGTGTCAAGTGCTTTCCTCCTCAGCTGAGTAAATGAACTGAACGCGTAGTGTGTTTACTGACCACTACGATGGATACATGTAAGTAAAGTCGGCGTTTATATCGGTATCTGTGTTGTGCACAGGTGTAACTGAGTGTACACGCGCAGGATTACACACATCCACTCAACTGAACACAAGTGCGTTTCTAGTGTACATGGCATTAGAATGACCACGTGCCACTCAAAGGCCAGCGTCTCCCGTCACCTAGACAACAGGTGGTCCAGTTCCTCTGTCCAACCGATTCAAACTTGACCATCTTGCAATGAAGCTAATTCAGTACACTCAAACAACTTGATGCTTTTAAAGTCGTATGTCGCCCTACTAGTTGTCGACTTGTGAACAATGCCCAACCCTGATTGTGAGAGTGAAGAGGTACTCGGCGGCCATTGTCGTGATGGTTGTGCGATGAGCCGCGGACGTGTTGAGGGCTTGCTACCTGTGTAGGTGTTCCCCGAGTGGGGCGCCCATCTGCCACAGCAGACTCCACCAACATTGTCAACGCTCATATTGGCAACGATAGAAAAATGTCCGTCGGCGTGCTGTTACATGCGCTACAACGCTAACAGTTGATTTATTTAACTAACATGTCATGTCCGACTTTTGATTGGTTGGGAATCTATAACAGACATTCCCCAAAACAGGGAGACAGTCCCACACTAACCGATGTGTGATACACTGCCAGGGAAGTGGGCAATAGGGGCACATATTTATTTCACAAACTGTGTGAAGCTGGATTAGTAAACAAATAAAGACTTGTAGTAAGATAAAGTTTATTCGTATATTCATCCAAACGAATGTTCACATTAAGCCGCAAATGTTATTATGAGCGCACCTTAATATGTGCTGTTCTAGTAAAACAGACAGAATATTAGTTCACAAACGAACTGTTCTCTTGCGAATTGACACAATAATAGCTTAAACAGGAGATCAGTTTGTATCAGGATCAGAAACCTTTTATAAGAGGGCCTGATAACAATTCTTATATTACTGTATATAAACACCGCTCCAGATGTCACGGTCTTCCATTATGTGTACAGTCACGGGTAAGTTAGAAAGCCATTATTTTGCACAAAAACACAGTTGTCGACTGAAGAAAACGTTTTGGCACAAATGAGATAGAAGTGATTTTAAACGATAGCTTACACTCAGATACAATTAGGAAATCGCTCAGATGCTGATTTATGAACGGATTTTACTATTTCTAAATTAATATTTGCTGTGACATATACATTTCCATTAAAAATATAGTTTATATCGTAACCTTTGTTGTAAAGTTACATGTTTTTTCTTCTGCTGTAGTAGTTGGTACAGGTAAAGAAATAGTGAAGTGCATCTTCATGGTGGTAGCCAAAGGAACAGTTTGGATTAGCTGATGTAAACATTTTAAGCCTGTCAGCATAGAAGTCACTACAGCCAAGTCTCAGGCGACAGTGCACAGTATGGTTAATTCCAGATCCATAATTTAAATAAAATTTGATGCTCTGCATTTCATCCCCTTTTATCATTGTTTTAAAATCATTCAGTGTACTGGCTTCAGTATACACAGTTGGCAAGGAATTCCACAGTTTGTATCAGGGAGAGAGGAATTTGCATAGCTTGTTGTTCTACACTTTCGAGCATGTTGTTCAGAACTCTATCCTTAGGTTGTAGTCATCAGTTTCTGCCACTCAATGTTGGACGAGATCACAGAGATAGCTAGGTGCAAGGTTATAGAATATTTTGTACAAAGTAGACGAGTTAATTTGGTTTTATGTTTACTTTGACAAAGAGACATAAACATTGTTTCAGTATATAGCTGGCAGTAACTCGTACCACGAACAACTCCACGTGTAGTCCTAAGCGCATTTAGGCTTAGTTTTTCAAGAATCAGTGACTGCACCCAGATACGACAGAAGTAGTGAAAATTCGGCAGCATAAATGACATGTACGTAGTTTCTATTTTTTCTCCTGTTTAAACGATATTAAAACCCCTGAGGCGGTTAATCATAGGACTAACTTTTTGAACTAATTCACCGATATGGCAATTCCATGGGCAAACGTGTTGGAGAATAATTCCAAATTGTTTGTACGATTGAACTTTCTTAAATATATTGTCATTCGTTTTAAGTTCTAGTTTAGAATTAAGATTTTTCGGGAGAACTGGATAAATTCAGTCTTGTTTGGATTAAATTTAACATGTCAGTTGTCCGCCTATTTTGGTGAGGTGAGGTGAAATGGGGTTTAACGTCGCGTCCAATATTATTGCACTTATATAGCGACGTGCATGCACGTGTGTGTGTGTGTGTGTGTGTGTGTGTGTGTGTGTGTGTGTGTGTGTGTGTGTGGCTGCTTGTACTAGTCCGGACTGATGCCGATTTATAGTGCTAGCTAGTGATACCATGCCGCAGTTTAACATGAATACCCCACTCAGACACAGTATACTGACTCCGAGCCGACCAGTCCTTGTTTTAGCCTCTTAAAGCGCCAGACAGGGTAACATCAAGTACCATGTTTAACGTCTTTTAGTATGACGCGGTCGGGGATCGAACCCCGGACATTCCTCTCTCCGGGCGGACGCTCTACCACTAGACCACGGAGGCGGTCCCGCCTATATAGAAATTCTACTTAAATCATAATTTATATGTGACATACAGCCAGGGAAGTCGACAATAGATGCACATGTATATATCGCTTTGTGATATACAGCCAGGGAAGTCGACAATAGATGCACATGTATATATCGATGCGTGATATACAGCCAGGGAAGTCGACAATAGATGCACATGTATATATCGATGTGTGATATACAGCCAGGGAAGTCGGCAATAGATGCACATGTATATATCGATGTGTGATATACAGCCAGGGAAGTCGGCAATAGATGCACATGTATATATCGATGTGTGATATACAGGCAGGGAAGTCGGGAATAGATGCACATGTATATATCGATGTGTGATATACAGCCAGGGAAGTCGACAATAGGTGCACATGTATATATCGATGTGTGATATACAGCCAGGGAAGTCGGCAATAGATTCACATATATATATCGATGTGTGATATAGAGCCAGGGAAGTCGGTAATAGGTGTACAGATATCGAAGCTGGAAAATCCTTTAAAAACTGTCCTCACGTTTTACACCCCAAAAAATATAGTTCACTGAACATTTTGGAGGTTCTGAAAAATAATAAGTTTTGAGTACGTTAAGAAATGTATGTCTTTAAAAGTTGGCTAAATACATGCTGTATCTCAAACAAAACTCTAGGCCAGACCACCAGAATTAGGAATGGTCGCTCATTCGTGAGGCCGCTTCTCCTGTGTCTTCGTGTGAAGCTTTATTGTCAGGTTTGAACGGTCGTACACTATTGTTCCTTATTTACATAATTTTCATTCATCTTTGTCTATATACATTAGAATGTCATTTCTTTCTTTGCTATTCAAAATGCTGAACACGGTAAAAAAAACGATTGGATTCAGATGGCATGAAAATATACATGTGATCACGTGAACAAGTTTTAACATAATGGAATGCGTATGTGCTTGTGTCACAAAATTATTTCCAAGATAAATCAGTGTCATTGGAATTTGTTATCTCCATCTGTGAAGGAAACAACAACCCTGAATTCCTGTTCATGAAGAACAAAGGACTAAAGGAGTGGACTCTAAACTTAGTCCTTTTATGGAAAACAGGATCCAAAATAAATATGAATCTTTGGAGATCTTTTTTAAACAGTAATATTTGGATACATGTGGACGTAATCATCTATATGACACCACAGCACCATTAACTTTAAACATAACCCTTAACTAGTTCTAAATCAAATTTTATATAGCTAAATGCATAAGAGAAAATGCTTAAACAATTTTGTTTCTGAACAGAAATAAAAATAACGAAAGATATTTGATATGTTTGGATTGCACTTCTTTAAATGAATTCATATAACTATGATTTATTGGGGTACAAATATAATGAAAATGGCCTTACCTCAAGAACATGTCCAATAGTTTGAGAATCCATCGTGTGCAGCCCTATGAGCGTGTCCATAGGGTAGGGGCCTACGTTGCTGTGGGTGGGGATGTCTGTCCCTGCAACCACGGTGGTATTGCCCCTGAAGGAGGTGGCGCATACAGGAACGGAACTGGGAACTATAACTTCGTCTGACGACATTGCAGCCAATTTCCAAATGATGTGTAGAGCGGGGCCTGTGCCGTTTTTAAATCTCTGGTATACGCAGGCTGCACATGCATGTATGTGAAACGTTTTGCGTTCTACAGCTGGGAATCTTCTCATGAATTCTTTTAATAATATTAACTTTTGTCGGGCTTAACGGATCCTCGGGACTCGCGCGCGACCGACTCGTGCGCGCATGCGCCGGTTGGCAAAGAGCCCGCCCCTCCAACCAATAGCGTAGAGTGGGCGGTGTGATTAATTAATCATAGTGATCGTTCACCTCCACAATATGATCAACATGAGGTGGCTACCTAGCCCAAAATCTCTTTCAACTTCTCGCTTCGCTGACGATGTAAAGTGATTAATTTTCATAGATTTTTATCTCCTTTATGTTTTTTGCTTCACAAATATTGCACAAATTATTGGGAATGTTTAAAAGTCAGAAAGCAAACAGGCATTTGCTAGTCTAGAATAAATTACCACATAATGTGAGAATAAGAACACTTGTTACCAGCCAGAACACATCGCTAAGCTTGAGCAGGTTTAATGGTGATCAGGTAAATAGTCCAGCGTACCAGTGTCTGGTGTGGTGACACTCGTGGTGGCTACACGGCCAATAGGGAGGAGTAAAACAACCAATCACCCAAAGGGAAACCCCCCGTCATACAGAAGGCTGTAAATCCATGATGATGATTTCTGAAACGGTTCCATCTCTTATTGCCTTCAGTGCAGCTCACCTCCCTGTATGGTAGTATCTAGTGCAGTTGTCCTTAGTTTTTAGTTTGTTTTGATTTGTTTTTTTGTTTTTTGTTTAACGCTGCCCTCAGCTATTGTGTTTAGTGAAGTTAATGTAGTTAGTTTCTGGTACAGTTTGCCGTGCGACAGTTTTCTGGTGGCAAAGAAAATTGGGATTTAACATGTATGTATATATTGTTATGTTTATTATCATTGTTCATCTGCAATATCTAAAACATGGCACATTAAAAACAAAGCCCCATGAATGTTATATATGGATCATTGTGAAATATCTTTGAGTATCAAGTCTGTGACAGTCACAGTGAAAGAAACATTTATGCTAGGTATGACATGGATACATCAAACACTGCAGCAGTGTATCACACTTGAAATTAGTAATTTAATCTAGACTCCAAGATTCCCATCAACAAACATGAAACTCGGGATATCTCAGCAAATTGGGTTCTTTATAACTATTATGACATAATTACAATTATCCGAGTCCACGCAAAGAAGTATGTGGCGCCATTACCTGTTTATAAATAGTTCTGTTTTGCGACCCAAGAGAAAAGAAATGTTTACTTCGTTTGTGTTATAAAACTCCAAATTCGTGAAAATTGCATTCCTATTCACACCCATTCCGAGTATCAATTCCAAAAATGTCAAAACAATACCAGCATATGTTTGTATTGTTTGCTCCATCATTACACTGAATGAATGTTTGGCAGCAACAAGCCCTGAAGTTGATTGCACTGTAGGCAATAAGATCTGCCATTCCTTACGGCCAGGCAAGTGAGTGGCGAGAAAATCATGAAAAAGCGCGTGTTTTTATGTAATTATTGCGTGACACGAGTGCAAAATCATTATATAGGATGTAAATATATGTCTACGAATTCCAATGACCTGTAACGAACTTTCGAATTATCTACTGCGACGATTGAATAGAATTATAAAGCATGAACAAAATAATTTTGAGATCATAATTAATTTCTTTATGTGTTTGCATGGACTTACTTTATGTGTGTGCATGGACTTACTTTATGTGTTTTGCATGGACTTACTTTATGTGTTTGCATGGACTTACTTTATGTGTTTGCAAGGACTTACTTTATGTGTTTGCATGGACTTACTTTATGTGTTTGCATGGACTTTGTTTATGTGTTTGCATGGACTTACTTTATGTGTTTGCATGGACTTTGTTTATGTGTTTGCAAGGACTTACTTTATGTGTTTGCATGGACTTACTTTATGTGTTTTGCATGGACTTACTTTATGTGTTTGCATGGACTTACTTTATGTGTTTGCATGGACTTACTTTATGTGTTTTGCATGGACTTACTTTATGTGTGTGCATGGACTTACTTTATGTGTGTGCATGGACTTACTTTATGTGTTTGCATGGACTTTGTTTATGTGTTTGCATGGACTTACTTTATGTGTTTGCATGGACTTTGTTTATGTGTTTGCATTGATTTTGTTTATGTGTTTTATAAGGGTTTCTCTTTACTGTTTATGTGCGGAAGCTGTGTGGGAAGAATATGTGCGTATGTTATATACGGAAGACGTATGCTATGTGGATATGTTATATACGGAAGACGTATGCTATGTGGATATGTTATACACGGAAGACGTATGCTATGTGGATATGTTATATACGGAAGACGTATGCCATGTGGATATGCTATATGCGGAGGACGTATACTATGTGTGTATGTTATACACGGAAGGCCTCGTTCTTTTGCGACAGTCCTAATCAGTTCCCGATATTTAACATTCTAAAATGTTGATGTCATGGCAAAATATTGTGTATATTCCAACTTAGATAGGTTACAATATCTCTGTTTATCAGAAAGCACCATAACTACTTCGGAGGTTAGTTGCCGCACGATGAGCAAGGGTCTGCCGGCCACATGCATAACGCACGTGGTACACAGACGGGCGGCAGCGTGTTTCATCCACGGTTGTGTTTTGCCACTGCACTCCGCCCCTAACGCCCCCCCCCCCCCCCCCCCCCCCCCCAGGTACACCCCACCGCCCGAAACAGACTCTTCCTCAGCTCTCAGGTCTGTGTATACTCTGTGAGGTGATGATAGACAAGACCTAACTCCTGGCTCTCCGAGGACACTCTGTATGCGGGTCATGCTGTCACGCCGCCGGCTCTCGGAGGTGCAACTCAGCGCTCAACAACTCAGATTTCCTCAACTCTAAAAACGGCTTATAATGAAAGCCCTGCTAATCAGTTTATTGTAAAAGTTTTGCCCAAGGTAGTGGTTTAAGAAATAAAGAATGAAACCGGTAATTTTTTTGTTATCTGATAGTCAGTGCGAATGAATTCAGGCCGAAATGATAGAGGGTGGCTCGTGTCGCGTGCAGGGGGTCGAGGAAGCGAGGCCGCTGGGTGTGGCAGTGTGAGAACGGGCCTGCCCATACACCACATGTTAACTCTACCCGGCTGGCTGCCTGGCTGGCCCCTCGTTCACCCCCGTCCACCTCCGCTCCTTTACCGCTACACTGCATTAATGGGCTGATGGCAACCGAGGTCGCCTGAGTAAACGGGGTGGGGTTGAACTGCTCTGTGGAACGAGTTCGCATTAGATAAGATCACCCAGCCAGTGTCGTCAGGCTGGTGTTACTTGGAGGAATCTTCTCCGGAGAAGTAGCAGCGTGTCGGCTACCAAAGAAAAAGCAAGCGTGAGGCAGGAGAGTGTCCAATAGAAGTAAAACTGCGTGTTAATGGACGAATGAGATGGAGTCGCGTGCGGTTCACGTGCAAGCACCGTTCCGTGTGACGTGAGCCTGATGTAGCACAGAGTAGCGTGTGGCAGGGCAGGGAGAGGCCCATATGACGGGACTGGGGAGCACCTGTAACGCCTTCTAACCACGTGACCCCACAAATACAGTGAATCGGAACAAACTTGTAGATACAAGGGAAACCTATCAGAAAAAAATCCATAAAAGAACCCCTACCGTCTCCCTGGCACAACTCCCGTTCTCGTGAACTACTTTACACTGTAGCCTACCAGGATCTGCCAGGGATAACTGTGGGAATAGTCTTCACTGAACAACCCGCATTAGTGCTTGCCATTCTGATAATGTTTATGCATTTGATGCAACAAATGTCGCAAGTTAGATTTTCCCAGAGATAAAACACACACACACACACACACACACACACACACACACACACACACACACACACACACACACACATATATATATACTTCTCACAAACACATACTTCTCACAAACACACACTTTTCACTACTCACTTGGGAAATTCATCTTTTCTGACACAGGATTCGTAAGCAAGACATACGTACACGTGTAGTTATCACCACACATACCCTTGTGCTTGGTAACGCTTTTCTCTGCAAGTAAATAATTCCCACTGAAAGTAAACTTTCTACATCCCCAGAATATTCAAAGTTCATATTCCTTAACATACAAAAGAAACGAAGCGTAATACCTTGAGACTAACTGATTTGTTATTGCTGATACACACATCATACATTCTGTTCAACATGTCGGCTGGTGTTCTTGTTTGCAGAACTTCTGCTCTCAAACCTTAAACTTCTTGTACGGGTCATGTAGACTGTATCGTATGTCAGGGAAACAATGACGGCTGTCTTGCGACGCCGTACGGCAGAAGCCCACCGACAGAACACTGGATTACGAGAAATGGGATACACTAATCCCAGGTTGCATCTTGAAGTTAAGATGCTGCTTCGGCTACTCTGTAATAATCTTCATTGCGTCCAAATGCAGTATGAGATTCGTGCACGCCACAGTGAGTCAATAAACGACTAAATAGTTTCCTACTTAAATATTTAAGGTTTATGGAAGTATTTATACTTCTCATAGAACATTCAGGTTATTTGCGCAAGTTGTTATGATTAATATGACATGATCACCTGCCACCCAAAGTAAGTTTTAATCCAGAATGGTGACATCACTATTTCTATGTTACCAGTATTGAGGCATCACTGTTACTATGTTACCAGTGTTGAGGCATCACTATTTCTATGTTACCAGTGTTGAGGCATCACTGTTACTATGTTACCAGTGTTGAGGCATCACTCTTCATATGTCACCAGTGTTGAGGCATCACTCTTCATATGTCACCAGTGTTGAGACATCACTATTAATATGTTACCAGTGTTGAGGCATCACTATTCATATGCTACCAGTGTTGAGGCATCACTGTTACTATGTTACCAGTGTTGAGGCATCACTGTTACTATGTTACCAGTGT